CTCTCTCTCTCTCTCTCTCTCTCTCTCTCTCTCTCTCTCTCTGCACTAAACACATATATACGTACAAATAATTTTTATCTAATTTATATTGAGGTAAAAAAAATTTATTTAATTTAAAAGATTTACATACAAACTTTCAAAAACTTCTTTTGTCTCGACTAACGTGAATAGGAATTCGCGTTAGAAAATAAGAAAAGATTAACGACATGCTAGTAGAGACTAGCATCTAAAAATCATTTAAAAAATAGAAGTTTCGTGAAAGGAAAGTAATGACAATCTCTTTAAGTTTTAATTAATAAAAACGGTCTATACACAGCTATAACTAATTTAATACAAAACGAATAATTATATATGACAATACTCATTGTACATGTAATACTAAAAATGTTCGAATGAAGCTTATACATATATTTATAGATTATAGAACAATTATAGACAAACATTTGCTAAGTTATAAAAGTTGTAGGGACCCTTCTTTTTATCTTTAATTACAAGTAATCTGCGCGATGCGACTAAAGCAAGAGTGGCTTGAAGGTCGCTTCTTAGAATTTGATAATTAGCTCTTAAACTGACACGTCTTAAGTTATTTTGTGGCACCGGGCGGCCACCAGCGAACGCAAATCTGTAATCACGTTTAAATTATATAATAAAAATGTTACGCATTTATGTAAATATTAGCTTCATTAATTTTATGATATATACCTTATTTCTCGTCTCGGCCCTCTCAGAGTGGAATCTGGAAACGCCGTTTGTCGATCCCACATTCTGGTGTTAAGCAACGATCTGACTTCCACGTACCTTACCTTGCTTTTAACGATGATAGGCAGTGTGCCAATTTTCTTATCTCTCTTTTCTCTTGCATTATCATCACGATTAGTAGATATATACGGTAATAACGAATCTCCGTAATGCTCAATCAAAGGAATGAGATTTAAAGAACCTTGCGATTTCATAAGGGCACAAACAGCTAGCTATAATAATTACAAAAAAATTAATTAAAAAATCATATACCAAGGATTAGAATATAATGTTGATACTAACAGCTATTCGTTCCCAAATAACTGAACCAAACGAAGCGTAATAGTATAAAATATTTTGTATGGAAAGTGTGTGCGCGGTGTCATGTTGGAAAAATACAAGTGGCTGAATGCTCGCTAACAATTCCACCGCCATTATCCTTTTTTTGTTGAACTCAAAGTTTTCCATTTCACACTTTATAAGAACATTCTCCAATGTTGGTATATACCTGTTTATAAGTATTCAAAAAAGTTAGTTTTTTTATGAAATTATTTCACAAAATACAAGATTTGTTTGAAAATTTCATATTACTTGTCGGCAATCGACGGCCAGCGAAGCATCAATTTCAGCACGCACTCTTTGAAAAGCACTTCCAAATTTGGATGTATGAAACTCTGACTCAACAGTAATTCCAACAATAATTCTGTTAATTTATCCACCTTTAAAAGCACAAAGATTTAAGATTCAAATGTTTTGAGTACAAATTTCCAAAAGATGTACTATTATTTTACAATTAATTACCGAAATTAAGTGGTAGGGATAGACAGCTTCGCTGTTACTGGCAATGGCAATTATGAGTTGACACGTTCGTGTAGAAACACGTGTATATTGTGCATTATTTGAGATTACCATAGACCTAGCAATGGACATTAATTTATCAATGACCCCCTCGTCGCCTAAATGAACGTTGGTGGCACAGTCATTAAGTAAGACCTGAAAATATAAAAAATAATGTTGCATTTATTTCATGATGATAATAGTAAAAAGTAATTTACATGTATATGTTTTTGCATACCTGAAAGGTTTTTTGTGAGCCATTAAATAAAGTTTTCAACGCACGTTTGGCATAATTATGACGCGCTTCTGTGAGCTTCAAATCACATATTTCAGATTCTAAAAAAAAATTTAACGCAAATTAAAAGATTACATTGAGAAATTAGCAGCAATTTCAAATTAAAATTACGTTTTATCAAATATAAATTAAGAGATTCATCATACACATAAATTTTAAAAGAACTTGCCTTGCAGAAATGGCACATTAGTTTGCGTCAGGCACAATGGATCATTCATTTGGTTAACAAGATTAACGATAGATTCGCTAGGCACATATACCTTTGCTTCTGTATGATACTCTGGTAAGGATTCTGGTGCACCAAAAACTGGATCGGCATCGCATAAGCTGGTGATTACTGTATTTACATCCATAGATGTCAGACGTTTCCTCTTACTATGCCTCAGTCTCGTAACACATTTCTGAAAATTAATATAGGGATGATCAACATTATAAATGTTAAACTATTAATCTTTTAAAATTCTGTATCTATCTGAATATCTCTCTTGATATAATATTTTAAGGATAAAATTCTCGATTTTGCTCATTAAGAAAAATTTAAATTGCAAAGGATTAAATAGGAATTATATTACATTTACATGTAAGACTTCTCTTAAACGATAGGAAGCATCTTCGGCTAATCTTTTTAACAGAGGATCTGGCAAGGAATGCATGCCCAGTTCCTCGCCGATAGCAGAGACCCATTCAGTGCTGAGCATAGCGTATCTCCTCGAATTATTATCGCTTGTAATACTGCTAGTTCCTGCATCTCGATTATTATTGTTATTGACAAACGAGCTACTGTATCCCACAGCTTGATTCGACAACAGTTCTTTCATTTCTGCTTTTTTGTGTCCACGTAGAGTTCACGACTAGAGTCTGTCAAATTTATTATACGCGGATACCTTGACGAGGTCTTGGTCAACTATAAATATAGACGAAAACAATGTTTGCAAATTATTTTTAGAGAGGTTAATATTTAGAATTCGCGAAAGAGAAGAAAAGTTAAAAGTCCAAAATATTCAACTTAAATGATTGTTATACGTACATATATATATCCATTGATATATTTTAATTTTATAACAATAACGTTCTCCTGAAGTATGAAATAATTATCTTGTAATAAATATTTCCGTTATACTTTTTCGTATCTAAACAAAACCCTTTGAGGTTAGATAACAAAATAAGCAACTATAAGAGTGACATCTTTTTGCGGTGATAAAAAAAAACCCAAAATCTGTAATTCACAATTATTCCGTCAGAGGGCTACTGTTTATCAACATTGCGTTCCAAAACTCATTAGAAAATTCCGTAGTGCGCGATTATTCCGTCAGAGAACCTTCCCTCTTCTCTTTTTAACATTCGTTCCTAAATGCATCCAAAAACTGTAAAAAAAAAAATGGCGGGAAACTCAGCAACACGTTGCTGGAAGCAGAAAACAAAATACAGAATTTACAGGGAATGACAGGTTGACGATTGTCATTATATACATACAATGCTTTATGTTTGCGCATTATCGTATATAATACTCAATTCTATAAGTAAATTCAACAATTCGCAATTCTATAATTCATTGAAGATCATTTCTGCGTGAGATGTGTGTACAAAAATGTCATTCTCTCTTTTCAGGAGTGATAAAAAGCTTCATTTAAAGAGGGAACAGAGACTTCACGTCTCAAAAAGTTTTAAGAGAAACACAGGAATGGAACCCCCGCAGGAATTTCCATTTCCCTTCCCAGCGTACGAAATCCAGAAACGATTTATGAGAGAGCTTTATGGTTGCTTGGAAGGTGGTAAGCTGGGTCTCTTCGAAAGCCCCACAGGAACTGGAAAGTCCTTGTCCCTTATTTGTGGTGCGCTTAAGTGGCTGGTTGATCACGAGAGATGGAGGAAAGAAGAATTAACTTCGACGATTGCTGAAATAGACGATAAATTAAAGAGCTGTGAGAAGCTATCTGATAATTGGTTTACTGTGCAGACGGAGCAAATAGAACTTAATGCTGAGAAACAGCCGTTGCAAGCCAAGCTAAACGCACTTCTCGAGTATGAAGGCCAAAGGGAGAAGCTTAAAAAGATGATTGTTGAATCAAAGAGAGCGAAAACAACTGGAAAAATGAGGCAGCAGTTCACCAAAAGAGTTCCAGACTCAGATAAGACAGAGGAAGTGAACCCTGATGTCTGTGACATAGAGAAGGATCTTATCTTAGAAGATGGATTGTCAAACTCAGAAAGTTCTGAGGAAGAAGACACGGATGAACCTTTATTTAAGAATACTAAAATCTTTTTCTGCTCTAGAACCCATTCACAGTTGACACAGTTTGTTCATGAATTAAAAAGATCTCCCTATTCTCAAGAGATTTCTGTAGTACCGCTCTCGTCGAGGTATCTCTTATTTATTTTTAATATTTTAATATTTTAATATTTTAATATATTTTTAATATTATAATATATTATCTAGCTCTCTAAAATTTATTAACATCTTATTTCATTCTAGGCAAAATTACTGCATCAACAAAAATGTCAAGAGATTGAAGCATATCAATCTGATTAATGAAACCTGCCTTCAGCTGCAAAAAAAGAAGACTACTGTTAAGAAAGAAAAAGATTTAAAGAGATCAAAGACTGCAAGCAGTTGCCCATTTATACCAGGTGATCAGAAACTTTTAATGGCTGAGATTCTAACAAATATTCAAGATATTGAGGAGATAGCACAGAAAGGACAGGAAAATAACACTTGTCCATATTATGGCTCAAGAAAGTCTCTACAAAATGGACAATTAATATTAGTACCATATAATTCTATTTTTCATAAGAACACCAGAGCCAGTTTAGAAATAGACTTAAAAGGGAATATATTAATAATAGATGAAGCCCATAATTTGCTGGACGCCATCGAAAGAATGCATAGTTCTGTAATTACTGGGAGAAATTTGCTTCACTGTTACAGTCAGCTGTCGCAATATCAGAAAAGGTATTGCTGTACTTCTTTCGATAGTTATTAAATTATTAGATAAATTTTTAACTGTAATATGATTGTAGATTTGA